CTGACTGCTGGCTACCCTATTGGGCAGGGTAAAACTGGCCCTGTGGGTTTCCAAGACTAACTCTTTAGGGAGTAGAGTCTCATCTTTCTCCCAGAGTAGCTGGGTGGTGGTTTCTAATTAACATATAACTTATGGAGTTGTAAAAATTACAGATGATGGCTACAAAGCAGCTCCTTGCATTGTGCATGGTGCATAGCAAGCAGGCAACAAGTCATAGCTATTGTTACTAACCATCTCATTGTAATCAAGACAATCTATTTTACAGACGGTTTGAAATGACAGGGCAATTAAGAACTATTTGGGGATGAGTTTATGAGCAGGAGCCCTGGTGGCACAGTGGGTTACACATTGGGCCACTAACCACAAGATCGGCCATAGGAAACCACCAGCGGTTCCAGGAGACACAAATGAGCCTTTCTACTCTCATAAAGAGTTAGTCTCAGAAACCCACGGGCAGTTCTACCCTCTGTAGAGTTGCTATGAGCCGGCATCGACTCGATGGTAAGGAGTTTGAGGTTTTGAGAGTGCACTGGCAGAGCTGACTATATTCACTACTGTATTAGGAACCTGTGTCTTTTTAAACACCGTAACAAATACAATAACCGTTGCTAACTGGGTCAACATCAAGTCTAACTTGTTGCCTTTCATTTGGTTCCAACGCATGATACCAGGTGTTTCAGAGGTACTCCCTCAGGTTTTTATGGTGTGATCGTTGGGAATCACCTACAAGCCTTTCTTCCAAGGCAGGTAGTTAGTTAACCAGCTGTACCACCAATGGCCTCACAGCACTCAGTATCACAGTTCAAGCTGCCCTGGAAACTGGCCTCTGTGGGACTACTTCACCAATTCCTGACCCAAAGGCTCTCAAACTAATTTGGCGACTGCCCCCTTTACAAGGGGGGAAAAAAACAGTGCCCCCCTGGCAATTAAAACCCTGTGTACTGTAGCCACTAATCCAAGTTAGTGTAAGCATCTGATTTGGCATCCCCCTAGATCAGTGGTTCTCAACCTTCCTAATGCCTCGACCCTTTCATACAGTTCCTCATGTTGTGGTGACCCCTCCAACCATAAAATCATTTTGCTACTGTTATGAATGGGCGACCCCTGTGAAAGGGTCGTTCGACCTCCAAAGGGGTCGAAACCCACAGGATGAGATCGGCTGCCCTAGATCATTCTAGTGCCCCACCTCCCCGCAAGGGTGGTACTTTGGGAAACACTGGTCTAAACAGCCTTGTGCTTTCGCCTACTTTGTGCCATGAAGTCACCTTTGTTCTCTTCACAAAATCCTACAATCACCCTTCAAGCCCCAACTCAAAGATCCCTTCACTGTGGCATCTGCCCACACTGGGCTGACTTATCTCACTCTTGCTGCAGCTTCCACTAGCTCCGAGAATTGAGGCTGGGCCTAGACCCGATTTCTTTTTGTATGTAGAGCTCTGAGCCGATCTCTTCAGATTCCTGGTGGCACAACACTATTAACTCCAAGAAAGGTTGAAGGGGGTAAAAAGATGACTGGCCAGAAAACCCTCAGGAACAGTTGTACTCTGTCATGTGGGGTCAATGACAGCAACAGCACATCTCTGGGCACAGAAGAGACTGGGGGGGGGGGTTCTGTTTGATGAATGGATACTTATGAGATAAATGCTTGGAAACTGACTGATAAAGGCCAAGAACTGCCTATAGCAAGTCCTCAATACCACACTCACACCCGCTGACTTCTAGTGAGAGCGTAGATTACTCCCAGGCTCCCCACTCCACTGAGCACATCCATACTCCAGCCGTTGGAGGGAAGCCTGCTGTGCAGCATGTCTCTATCTCTGTACTGCTCTCGCCCATGGGCTATACCAGCCTGCCACAGCAGGAGCACCTTCGGAGCAGAAGCAGGCCACAGCTTGCCAGTCTCCAGGGCCTCTAAAAAGCCAGAACCTCCAAGGCTTTGGTATGTGAGGAGGAGGCCAGGTTAATGCCATCTCTCCCTGGAGCCTGACTTCCCAGCGGCACCTCCGAATGGGAGCTTGCCAAGCCCCGTGGTTCTAACTGTGTGCTTCGTCTGCGAGAGGAGCCCCAGCTGCTAGGAAGGCCAAGGCACACAGGGAATGATTGGGTGATGAGGCCAGATTGCGGGCTCTGCAAGTCTCAACCTGCCTAATGCAAAAGCAATTCTGAAAACTTCAAGATCAACCAGCTCTGTGGGCCACAGAGAAATAGGCAGAGGGTCAGCTGGAGGCTGAGTGTTAACACTTGCGATGCAGTCCTTGTCACTGCTGTTCCCAGTCTTGGCACTACAGCAGCAGCAGGTCCAGGAGCCCCCAAGGCTGGAAAAGGGAGTGGGGGCATTTCCCAGGCCCCGGGACCCTCTGCGGTCTGGCAGTGCTGATTTCTGTGGCAGGGGCCTGCCCTGAAGAGTAGGCAGCACATTCTGCCTGAATGGCCCAGGCTTTCCCATCTCTCCAAAAGGATACCAGGACTCTGAAGGAGTGAAGAGACTGAGTTAGAAAGAGAGCCAGGCCACAGAACACCGACTAGGGAGGCAGGGATTGAGTTCAGGAGTGAGAGCCACTCCTCCATTCATCAGTCAAGTCAGAAGACAAAACGTGCAGTTGTGGCCCTGGCCTTGCTGCGCTCATACCTGCATAGGGAAGATGGGCATTAATGAAATACACAGATCCAAGGGTACAAAAAGGCATTCCGAAGGAAGTGCACTTGCATTATAAAGACTGGCCAAACAAGCTGAGTGGGCCTGGCTAGGGAAGGCAGGGAAAGCATCCCTCGGCCAGAAACAGGTGAACAGATGACAGCTGTAAGCCATGAGATAAGCACGAATATTGTTGGAAAAGAGAACAGAATGTGCTAAGGTCCTGGGGTGGAGGCCCAGTGAGTTGGCTAACAGTGAAGGGGGAGAGAACAGAGTGACACCAAGGTTTCAGATCTTCCTGTCTGAACCCTTTGGTTTGCTCCCTGGCTGTCTAAGGTTCCCCTGGAGCCCTGGTGGTATAATGGTTTTGAGTTGGGCTGCGATTCACATGATCAGTAGCTTGAAACCACCAGCCGCTCTGCAGGAGAAATACCGGGCTTTCGACTCCTGTAAACGGTTGCTGTCACTGAAACCCATGGGGGTGGGGGGGAGTAATTGCTATGACTTGGCATTGACTCGATGGCAGTTGAGTTTGATTCTTTGGTTTGAGCATGGAACAAGAGCCTAAAGAACAAGGATACAAACTATCTGCAAGGTAATGCCACTCCCTTCTACTGCTTTAACACTCAATCAGTAAAATGGCACAGAGGAGAAAGATTCTAATCCAGGGAGATTAAGGTGTTGATGAATATGCTGATGATGACTACACATCGGCTGGGATGCCTAGTACTTCAACTGCCAAAGAGCACTGGCGACAGTGGCTAAATGCTCAGATGGTAACCAGGGGGGAAAAAAGATCGGAGGTTTGAACCTGTGAGTGACTCTTGAGAAAGATGAGGCAGTTGGCTTCAGCCAAGATGACAGCCTGGGAAACCCAAGGGGGCAGTTCTACTCCATCCTTCTTAAGATTCCTGTGACTTGACTTGATGGCAATGAGTTTGGCTCAGGGGTATTTCACTGTAATTGTCAAATACTCATTTCTTTGGGAAAGGAAAAATATGGCTAAATACAGCAGCAATACAGTTAGATCACTTGAGGCAGATCCAAGTGGCTTCGGAGTATCTGTCCTCTTGCAAGCAAGTGATGGGACTTCCTATTTGCAAAGCATTTTGCAATCAATCATTCATGCATCCCCCTTTTCAGGCTAAGCCATTTAGACTCAATCAACAGATAAAATACAGATAAGTGAGTGGCCCAAGGGCACAAAACCATTGGGCTTTGACTTATCTTTCGAATCACTCCTGCCAAACAATGAAGACACCCAAGGCTTGTCCAAGCTGGCTTCTCCGGCAGAGCAAGCCTCACCCTTGGGAGCAGCAGAGGGAAGGTACTACAGTTAGTTCTGTTACCCATTAGAAATAAGTTTCTCTTCGCAGTGGGCCACCAAGGACAAGGGCAACGACTGTACTAGAATGGGGTCAGCAGCTGGGAATTCCAGACTTTATGTGCTCAGAGAAGTCATCTTTGGTGGTGTGAATTGTCACGGAGTTAGATGGCCCATCTTGTGCCACTCCCAGAGTGAAGGCATGCAAAATAGGCTGTGCAGCACTGTTACTTAACTGCTGGTTGGAAATGAAAGGAAGTAGGGGCGGGGGTGTCAGGGCAGGGTGGCCAAGTGTGCTCGACCTCCGTTTTTAAAAAAGAAAAGCCACAGAAGGGAAGGGAACCGTTTCCGTTACAGCCACGAAAACCTCAAATCCTGGTTCTTTGGCTCAGCTCAGTTCAACAAACATTTGGCTCCTACAGGACACACAACGAATGAAGAAATGTAAGGAGACCATAAGCTACCTACCCTGCGCTCGACAGGGCGGGGGCGGCACTGGGGGCAGCAAGTTCCAGGGCATGGTGGCAAGTGCCAGGGAAGATGCTGAACTCCCTTGCCAGTGGCCTTTCAATACGGCCCGCAATTTCTACTTCCTGCAAATAAACTCCATCCCAGTGAAGACGGAGGCGACACCGCATTTGCAAACGAGCAGGTTCACGAGTAAAGACATTATGTAAGGTCTTCTCGCCCCCGCAATACCAAGCCCGAGGGTTCAGCCAGCGGCCCAGCAGAGCTGCAAGGCACTGAGGAACAGCATCAATTCCAGGGACGCCTGCAGGGCAGCCAGGAGGAAACAGCTGGCTGAGGGGCGGGGGG